AATTATAGTGACTCTTCGAGCAAAATTTTTAATCTATTACCTGAACCTTTAGATCATCAGTACAATCTTAGACATTCCCGAGCTATCTCACTTTTTAAAACCCGAACTAAATGCTATAATGATAGTCTTTTGCCATATTGCGTACGCAAATGGAACTCTTTTTAACCTTTTAGGCTTCTATAGATTAATATATCATTTGTAAATTAGCAATCCTACGTTATTGTAATTAGTATTACCAGCGTATGTATAATCTGTATATACGTATTTTGTTCTACTATTTTTAAACTATGTAAACTTGTGTTTTTCAGTTCGATTTTGAACTGCCATTCAAGTATTTTAATAAATCTAATCTAATCTAATCTTTAAATCGATGTCAAAATACGAAATTTCGGCGCACTCCTTACCAAGATGGCGGAAATTGAAGGAGCTATTGGACGCCAGTTATCGGCCAATTCCAGTCCCTTTCTATTGTTTCTGTCTGCGCGGTTAACACGAAGCTGGCTACACTTGAGTTCTCGCTGCAGTGCCCTGGTGTCCCTCAAGGCACACGACTTGGGCCTTGGCTATTCTTAGCCATGATAAATGACCTTGTGTTACATAATCACCTTTCAGAAATGTGGAAATTTGCCGACGATACTACGGTCTCTGAAATTGTTGAAAAAAACGAACAAAGTACTTTACAAATGGATATCGATGATATTACTACTTGGTCTATGGACAGTTCCTTTCAACTAAACCCATTTAAATGCAAAGAAATGGTAATATCCTTTTCACGATTACCACCTGTTTTTGAACCTATACGTATTGGTGACCGAAATTTGGAAAGAGTGACAAGTATCAAATCGCTTGGAGTTATATTAAGAAATGACCTTAAATGGATAGACCATGTAAATTCAATTGTCTCCAAAGCAGATAAACGTTTATATTTGTTGAGGCAACTCAAACGTGCTGATGTCGCTTCGGCAGATTTGGTCAAATTTTTTTGCAGCTGTATAAGGTCTGTCCTCGAATATGCGTGCCAATTATTCCATAGTTCCCTGCCACGAAATCTTGCAAAAAACATTGAACGTATACAGAAGCGAGCAATGAAAATAATATTCTATGAATTGTCTTACGACGAGGCTCTTAACATCGCTGGTATTTCAACTCTTGAAAACAGACGGGAGTATCTATCCAATAATCTCTTCAACGACATTGTTTTAAATGATGATCATAAACTTGCCAAACTTTTACCATCCAAAGCAGGCAATAGAGAATTACGAAAAGAAAGATCTTTTGAAGTTTTACCAGCAAATACAAATCGTTTCGGAAACTCTTTTATCAACTTTTATGCTAAGAAACATTACAAATTAGATGTTCCTTGAACATTTTAGAATTTTTAACTCATATAGATTAGTACATTTAAGTATATGATATATAGTATATATTAACAATTTTTAAATTGCATTGTAATATAGAATTTTTTACTATTTATAACCTTGTAACACTTAACGTCATGTAATTCAGTCTTCTGACTGCCAGATGATGTTTTTATTAAACAAACTATTCATTCAAACAAACTATTCATTCATTCATTCATTCAGATATAGATGGAGCTCACTGTGCCAAATATTGCTGGGTGCGTTTGGCCTTTACTGCATGATACATTATTATACGGATGTAAATTTGATAACATTTCTTATGAAGAGCTGCATAATATCAATAGCTGTCCCTCAAGGATCATTTAATGATATTGGTGATGCTATTGAAAAATGCAAAATAGTCAAATATGCAGATGACGTAGTCTTGTATGCAACCTGGAAAAAAGTGGGATCTCGGGATCCTGAGGAACATTTGCATTAGCAACAAGACTGAGGAACATTTTTCACGCGTACTGTAGGGGAGAATTTTAACTAATCATATTTAGTTATCTGCCATTTGAGTCTATTTTGAGATTGCAAAGTGTTCTTCATATTCTGTTATCCTTGAAGATTGTTTTGTTTCCTCAGCAATTTTACAACCAATATAATTGAGGAACATTTGAAAAAAGCAAATTCAGGATCCGAGGAACATTGAACACTTTTTCCAAGTCTGCTTGTATGTGGCTGATCGAGAAGGACATTGGCTCAATTAAGTCAAAACTGACGCATGCATGATTTGACTAATATTGCGGAATGGGTAGAGGAAAAGGACTTAATTTTAAATTTAAAAAGTTAAAGTGGAAGCGTTATTTTGAACAGCTAAGCGTATAAGCAAATCCGAACGAATCTTTGTCCATGCATATCTTACTGAAATACTACCATTACACTCACTAAGATCTATAATTATACAATAACATGTATATAACGCGTGCTCTGATTGGTCCAAACCTGTGTTTGGATCAGGCCATCCAAACTCGGAAATTTAAAGTGAAAGTTTTTTAAAGTGAAATTTTAACACGGAAAGTTATTTTATAAAACAATTACTTTATGGTTTCCGTGTTTGGATGGCCTTATCCAAACACTTGGGAATGTTGCTCGAGTTAAGGGACCGGTCATAAAGTAACTGCTAGGGTGGGCTGGAGTGATTTGGGATGGGCCATGGAAAATCTTTGGGCAGTTTCGATATCATGGGCCGCCAATTATTTTTGTATGTCCACGGTGGGTCACCAAACAAAAACCCATGCATGTCTACTTCAAAAATATTAATAATAAAAGATATTAATAATAAAAGTAAACAAAACTATTCAAATTATCAAATGCAAATGATGCTATTGAAGTCAGTACTTTGTTTATACAACAAGAAGTAGTCGAATCACAGCAAATACAACCAACTGGGGAGCAGCTCAGTCGTATCGTAATTGGTGATGAATGTGTTGGTCAAGCTTGGTGGAATTCAATTATGTATGTCAATACAGTGCCGGTGTATATTTACAATGTTCATATACATGCAAGTTTTTTTTTGTTATAAAAGTGTATTTTCCCAATTTAGATTGGGTGGGTCATGAAATTTTTTTTGTAAGATTAGATGGGCTTTGAAATTTTTATCTACATCCTAAGATGGGTCACCAAACTTATTGGCAAAATTTGTGATTTGCCTCCAGCCCACCCTAGCAGTTACTCTATGACCAGTCCCTAAGAAAAGCGCGCAAATGAACATTCCCGCGCGTTTGGATCAGGCTATCCAAACACGGAAACCATAAAGTAATTGTATAGTACCTTGGTGTGGAACTTGATGCAGCATTTATAAATCTCAATGTTCAGTTTGATGCTATAGTTTTAAGCGTGCGTCTGTGAGGCTGCACCTTCTGTCGAAAATCAGAAACACCCTCAATGTAGAGTCGGCGAGAGCAGTGTATCAAACAATAATTGTTCCATTACGGACGTATTGTGGATCAGTTATGAATTTAAAATTAACATTCGAGGAACGAGCTACGAAAATTATTTTTAAGGATGTTAGAACAGATTCCGAAATACCTTCGATCATTGTTTCAAAAAAGAAGCGAGCCTACGAGCTCGTAAAGAGGATTTTGAATGGTGATATTCCTGATGCTTCAAAGGATAATTTTGTTTTTAAAGATCATGGCAGATATACACGAAACAATGTCAATGGTTGTCATGCGGCTCTTCCTTCCGAGCTTCCATCTATAAAAACTGAATATGCACGCTTCTTCTTTAAGTGGAAGCTAAAACCTATAACAAGCTCCCAATGCATGATATTAGGAGGGAATCAGATTTTAAAGAATTTGAGAAGTTATTGAAACTTAACTTTACCTAATTTAAGTCTGGCCTTTTTATGAAATTTTATGACATATTTTACCTTAATTTAAATCTTCAACTGTTTTTATTATGTAATTATTTAGTTGTTAGGATATATTAAGCCTGCCGCACACGAGAGCTATCTGCTGAGCAAAAAATTACTCGTGTCTGTTAGCTCAGCCGATAGCTCACCGTGTGCGCGTACATTTTACTGAGTTTTTTGCCTCATGCAACCTTTTCTCACGTATCAAACATGTTTGATCGGTGAGCTATCAGCTGAGCTAACAGGCACGAGTAACTTTTGGCTGAGCAGATAGCTCTCGTGTGCTGCAGGCTTAAGACAGGACACACATTGATAACAACATATTCATGCTGCACGGTGCTCTTAACCTATTAAAATATTCGTATTATTATAATTATATTTACTACATACAGCATATTCACACATGCATTTCGTCTACGAATAAAGCTTGCATATATATACTATGTACTAATGCTATACTCAATAATATACATTTAAAAACGAATATTTTAAAATAATTACTTAATAAACGGCCACTGTTCAGTGTTGGAGTTGTTAAATAATTACCATTGCACGAGTTCGTATGTATATTTATAGGTATAGCCATCGTTCATGCATAAAAGCGAGCAAGTTGTGAGATTTGAAATGTTTAAATATTTCACAGACCATTATTTGCAGAATCACTAGAGCGTATAGCAGTATACAGCCTCGATTTCATTTCTATTTATTTATTCATTTTATTTGAAATTATACTTTTCTGTCTGTTTTCAAAAGAATCAATTCGAAGCTTTTTAATGCGTATATATATATATTGCTTACGCTCCAGTATAGCCTGCATGCAGGCTAGCTACAGTATAATTCTGCAAATGATCCATTCAGCACGCCCTGTGCGGACATGGTAAATAAATTGGACAATGTTCCCTTGCGGGTAAACATTGATGTTCTTTTGAGGACATAAACACTTACTAAAAACTGTCAACTCCAATAAATTAATGTGTTCTTAAATATTCTGAAATTGTCTTGTCTCTTTTTCTTAAATGAAGCCTCGTTTCATCTATACTTTATCCAATTACAATCTGGATCGCATGCAAAATCTAAATAGCAAAATGTTTGACCAGCATGATGTCTATACAGTTGATGATTGTGAACAACAAGGACCAGCCTTGGCGTAAATCACGTGATAGAAAAAGAAAGAATATCAACATGAGTGAAGTGTTGTCAGTCTTTACTTGGTTCTACAGCGCAATCAGTGCATGGTACTAAGCCGTTTTCATTGCATGTTGTACACCGTAACGAGCAGATCTCTCGATTTATTCTGTGTTTACGACTGGTTTTACTTCCTCCACATGAAAGACAATTTATAAATCTTCTCCCACCACATCTTTCACAACCTTTCGCCCCATAACGACGCTGTAATAAAACAAAATTACACCTTACAATAACTCCTATTAATAATGCATGCACGACAACCAGCTCATGGACGACGTTGCTGATTTTAAACGCAATTTGTATTGCAAATTATGTAACAGGAAATTGACTGGTGCGACGACACATTGCATCACGAATCGATCGTTGATGAAAATTGTCCCTTGTAACATCACCTTAGTCATCATGGCGATGTTTTTAGGCGATGACGAAATATTTTCAACGACAATGATGGATATGATATGACAACAAACTTGATTGGTCTAGCAACAACGATTTGCATTTCGATAGGCACATAAACTTCAATTAAATTGTCCAAATTCTTACCTGATAACCTGCAGTTAAAGATAATATTTTACCACTTTCATTTAGTTCCTCTATTTCCTTTAGCCCCTACAAAAGAAATGCCAAGTTATAACGCGACTGCCTTTATTTACCCAGGTTGACATCAAATGGCAAAGTATTATAGGCTTATAGCATGCCATAAATTGGCTCCACAAAAACGGGGCCGGTTGTATTTAATTATGATATGCTGAGTGGTTATATTACTACCTTAAAAAGTAAGCAGAAACTAGACGTTTCGAGCGAAGGCCCTTCGTTCGAAGGGCCTTCGCTCGAAACGTCGAGTTTCTGCTTACTTTTTAAGGTAGTAATATAACCACTCAGTACATCATTTTCACATTGGTACTACCCACACTGGTACAGACAGTTTTTGTATTTAACTATACTTTTTAACTATATACCCGTTTCCGAGCTAAATTATTGTTAATTTTTTCACTAACTATAGAGTATAGTTAATTTTAACTACTTTATTTATATAACCGGCCCATGAAACATAAAAGTAGGAACAGATTTTTCATTAAATCTATTTCACAATTACTGTTTTGTAGATGAACATAACACATTTTTAAACCATCTTTTCAGTTATCGCAGTTTTCCGGCAAGTATTTTCGGAATCAACGTAACAGCTTAGCCTGCTCAGCAGACCCCACCCGAAAATTTAAAGGGGCGGTTTGCCTTGAACGAAATTTCGGGCTGCGAGCAGGCTACGTAACAGCTTCGTGACACGGATTTAATTTTTGGTTTGTGGTTCACACCGTCACATGCACCCTGTCATGGGTACACCCACGTCTAACAAATTTCATTCTCAGTATATAAGTGTAGGCGTAGAAATTGTTTATAGAAACCCTGCAAGCAAGAC